TGAAAAAATAAAATACAGTTTAATGGAGTCGATCCTTTTTGGTGTACCCATAAAAACATTTTTGTAGAAAATCCTAGTGCATATTGTCCCACTCCAATATAACCGACTTAGGATTTCGAGGGTTCAAGCGGCCTAATCCCTGACCAAAAGTTTCATTTGAGATTTTCCGTATTCGATTGGATAAAGGTCCAAACTGTTTCCTGGCCACTCAAGGGTTTGGATACTGTGTTTATGTACTTATTATCATGCGTATGCGATGATTCGGAACCTAAGAAAGGTCCAAAAAAGGATCATCTCCACTTTTCTGCCCCCTATAATCCAATATGTGACCTAATGGTTCAGCATATTTTTTATTTATTTATTATTATTCAGTCAAAAGTTCAAAAACAGAAAGTAGGTTTTCCATAAAATCGAGTTTATATGTACGATAGTTGAAAAGTGGCTGTAATGTTCGTCGTGCAGACCCAGAAAATTTCCCGATCGTCTCGAGTGAACCAGAAAACATTTATTTAGTCGCGGATCCATCGAGAAACCGGTAATTTCGTCAAGGTTCTGTAGATTTTATGGTATGTTTTCAAAAATCCAAACTCCTCTGTCCAAAATACAGGACTTTGTGGACTTCATGCAGACCTGTGATTCTATTAAGAAAACGTCGCTTTACATATCAATAGACAGGCTGGGCATTCCAAGAATAGTGACCGGCCAATTGCGAATCCCTAACAGACAGTGTCGAGTAAAAGTGGAAAATGGACTCTCGAGAGACTTCGTAGTAAGTCAGGGACCTCAGATTAGGGGATGCGCTGTCCACAACCCTGTTCAATTTGACTCTCGAAACGGTGATGAGAAAGGAGGATCACAGTAACCCAGGAGTGACTTTAATAATCCGAACCACTCCAAACCTGGCATATGCAGGTGATATTGACCTGGTTGCCAAGAAACTTAGAGAGCTTGGGGAAGTTGAAGCTGGACGCGGGTAGATTGGGTTTGGCCATTAGCCGTACCAAGACGATTTACGTGCATTCAACAGAAGGTCAAGGACAAGCCAATTCCGTTCCATTGCACTGAACGGCGAAGCTTATTAACGCTGTAGGATCTTTAAATATCTGGAAGTCCTGCTTACCAGGATAACAATATGGAGAGGATAACAGTATGAAAGAAGAAATCCCGGCAAGAGTTGCCGCAGTAAACAGGTGCTATTTTGCCTTGGGGAAGATCTTCAAGTCCCGATCTCTAGCCACAACTTGAAATTGAGAGTCTATCGAACGGTAGTGAGGACAATGGTACTTTATGATTCTGAAACGTGGACCATGATGAGCGCGCAAGAAGATTTTTTGAAACGTTCCTGAAGATCTTCGGCGCAGTTCGCCTGGGAGGACACTGCCAAATTCGTACAAACATGGAGTTGAAAGCTTTGTACAAGACTGTAAACAAAGTTTACTCGGATAAGCGAGGTGTTAGACGGCAGCTAGGAAGCGTAAAAAAAGATAATTGGTCGAAGTCGAGGACGACCTCAGAAAGATGCAGATCGGACGATGGAGGAGACGCACAGAGAAGACAAGATAAGAAAAGACTGGGCCTGCATTGCAAAAGAGGACAGTGCCCTTCAAGGGCTGTAGCGCCGAGGAGTAGTAGTTCAAGTACTCACAGTTTTTGGGTTTTTCGAGGAACGAAATTAAAGGTGTACTCCTTACAATTTTAAGACGTATCTCTCTCCTCTGCCCCATGGTATTCGGGGGTCTATGCGTTTCGTAAATGTCGATTTGGAGCACAGAAGAAAAAATTCTACACCACTGTGGACTAGAAATCAAAGTTTTTAAACGTATACTGGATAGGAATTTTCGAACGTGGGCAGAGGAAAATCACCGAATTGCATACGAAGCGGTACAAAGCATCAACGTTTTGGACTTCTAGGAAATAAATTAGTTGGTTCTTATTTTTACCGAAATAATTTCAATTTTCATGAGAGAAGATTTACCTACTTTACTAGAGGAAGTTTCTATGCAACAACGACGAAGACAACTTCAACTTCAGCTTGATGGGTGCTCCATAAGGATAAAGAGAGCCAATCTTTGAGCCTTAAGCCTGGGGAGGCAGTGCGAACATGAAATGTATGTTGGTAGTGGTTGACAAACTTAAATTTTGATAAAAGACTGCGGCATTGATTTCAGCGTATAAAATCTTTTATGTGTCGGAAGGTCGAATTTGAAATTTAAAAGTTGTACTGATCACTAACACTTGATGTCAACGCGGGACCCCGAAGTACACATGCCATAAGAAATCAGCCAATGCTGGCATACAGTGTGAGGGGCAAGGAGGTCTCGAGGATATCGGTGCTCAGGATGGGAATGTATAGAGAGTGCTCGAGCAGTATGATTTGTATGTATCGAGAGGTTGGCGTTAAACCTTACGAATCGAGGAACGGTCGGTTCCTTGACAAAAGGAATGTTGAGGTAGTTGTGGATAGTGAGGTTGGTGACTTAGAACGATTTGTCTGAGGTCTTTCGATTGGAAGGTTGCTGGATGTTGGATGTCTTGGCAGAACCATTTCGGTTCCATTCCGTATGTCCAAAGTGGTCACAGTAAATTCTTGGTTAGTTTACTGTTGACGGTTAAGATTGATTTCTACAAGTCTTCGCAGTTGTGAATTCCACCTCTGTCTGCTGTTTAGGTATAGTCTTAAGTATTTGACTTGAATGGAATCTATATCTCTTTGTTGTTGATGTACAGTGGAGTGCAAGACTGTTCTTTTTTTCGATATGAACACTGAGCATATTTTTCTTGATTCAGTGTCTTCCACTATTTGTACCAGTCTTCGATTAACTCAAGGTGTTCTTCGATGTTGGAGGTATGTTGGAGGATAAGCTTCGAGTCAGAGGATAAAATTGCGTTATCGTCGTAGGTGGTCAAGATGGTATTGGGTGTACAGATAGGTCAGTAGTATATGTCATATAAAGGTTGAGCCAGGAAGTCGTCTAGTATCCGTCTGATTTCCGAGAACTAATACCGCACCTCACTCTGAAGCAGCGGTCTTTCAAGATAAAATAATAAACAGTGGGCAGGAATATATAGTAGGCGTTTCAGTTTATAAATCATGACCGGGCACCAATAAAAAGCCTGTGCTACATCTAGGAATACACCCAAGACAAACTTTTTGTTCTATAGAGCTGAGGAGAATGTGTATATAGTGTAAAGGATAGGTCCAAGAATGTTCCCTTGTGGGACGCATACCCATGTCAATACGTACATTATTGTAATTTATAAGTATATTCCAACTCACTCATTCAATCCACTATTCGGCCGAGTGAGACCAGACTCAGACTCCGGTCATTAATATATAAATTTTTAAATATTAAAAAGAATATGAGAACCTCGAATCATTCACCATAATTCACCAAAAAAATTAATAAAAGAACCCCACGATTCGATAACAAGACGTCCATTCCACTTTGAATAAGTCGCGTTTGTGCATATAATTAATATAAATAAAATTTTATGTATAAAAACAGTGAAAATAGTATTTTAGGTGATTATTTTCGAAAACGGCAGTAGATATCAGGCCAGTTATATGCATCTTATGCCAGTCCAAGCTGAATGGACTGGATAAGCTTACTCCCGCCTCCTTAAAAACGGTTCGTCGTAATTTCCATTTCCATTAATATATAACGAACCCATTTAATATCCATCATATCCATCCAGGATATTTACAAAAAAAAACGCGCGCCCATAAAAAGGAATCAAGTTTGAAAACCGGTGTACAATTTTCCCGATAGGGAGGTAAGCCCAACGTTGAAATCTCCCGGTCGGTTTTATAGCCCCATTTTACAGCCCTTTCTCCCCTCAAAACTGAATCCATTCACAAAATTAAAATGATTCCAACTGTAACTCGTTCAAACGTGGAGGGAGGGAAATTAATTTAAAAGAGTGGAGAGAGAGAGAGAGAGAGAGAGAAACTGAGAAATGCAGTGATATTGGCAAACAATTGGGCCAATTTTGTATAAATGTTGACAAGGAACCGGTGACGGTACACAAATGGCCAAACGTTTGTTTGACTGAGGAAGGCGGAAAGGTTTACTAATAATTAAATTACTTTAGCCAGATTATGTTTGGTCAGGGCCCAAACTGTTCAATCGGTATTTCACTCGATTCAAAACCACTACATCGTCGAGTGTCAGTCAGTCAGTCATACACCGGTCGAATTTCTTTTTTCTTTGTATGGTTATGATTTTCAATTATTTAGTTATAATTCGATTTTTCCAAATGTGGAATAGTTTGTCCCTTTTGTAAAAATAAAGCAACAATGAAGCCAAAAACGAGGAGGGGAAAAAAGACATCTTGAGGACATGACAATTCTCCGCCTATTGACTTTAAAAGGCGTAAATAAACAAGTTTAAAATTTAAAGTGACTGTTTAAATATTTGTCGCCGGCTAACCTTTCTTTGGTGGGCGATGCTTTGTACCTCGATAGAGATAACATCTGCCCCTTTTAATGCGAGGATGTGAGAATTTCAAATAAGTCCGAATAACGGCCATTTTTAAGCTCGTCCCATCTTTCAAAAGGGCCCAATTTGCGATGATACGCCGAGTGACGGATTGGAGCTTTGTGCTCGTCCGACCCCCGATCATAAAACTGTCACCCGGTCCCTTAAATATATTTTTTCCCCTTTTTTTGTCTTTTATTGTGTTTTTGAGCCGGCAGAACATCGTCATTTCACACCTACGTGCCATCAGTCGAAATTTTAGAAAGGCAGGAGGTAAATTTTGAAAACTGTCAACTATGGGGGTGTGACGTATGTAATTAAACCCAACCTTCTATTAAAAAAAAATTGTGCCCCACTAGAAAGCCTATTGCAATTTTTCATATTACAAAAAAAAATCAAATTTTTTTTGAAAAATGCAAAAGACGCAATAATTAACAACAAAAAGAAGAAAAAAGTCTCATCATTGCAGCTGTCGAAAAGGAAAAATAAATTGAAATAGTTTGTAAAAGCTCGTCGACTCACCACCAGTTGGCTTGAACGATGTGTAGAGGGAAAAGAAAAATAATGAAAGCTCTCCTGTTGGGCTTCATGTCTTCCGACTCCCGTGCTTAGGGCACGACTGAACCCGTGTCAGCCCCTCCAAGCATCCAAGCACAACCCCCTTCCCGCATCCCCTCCTCGCCATCAAGACTTTATTACTCCACAGCTTTATTATACGTACCAATGGTGAGCTTTTTGCTTTATTGCAGCCAACTGGCTAGACGCTTTATAAGAAAATTTCACAGTAAAACTGAAGCCCCTCTTCCCCAACGATTTTTGATTAAATCTGCACCCTTCTTGCCAAAACTGCAACAGACTTTACAACCCTCTTCTCTTCCTCTTTATCTCTCTTGTTAAAGCCCCTTCGATCTTTTTCAACTATATTTATTTTAATTTTTGTGTGTTCATGTGCCGATAGTTGGCCCTAGGAGGATCTGAATAATAGAAGAAGGGTCATCCTCAACCGAATTCCTGTGAAGGTCCACCAGATGTTCTCGCTGTGCCTTTCGTCAGGACAGATACCACGAGCTGAAGCGTCTCGGCAAAAATGTTGGATGTATGGAGGGTGACGAAAAGGCGGATGAAGCGTGTAAGGTTGGGACGTCTCAACCTCCTGACTTAACCACCGCGATCCGGCCCCCTGACGCTAAAAATGGAATAAAAATATGATTAAAAGCAAGTGGCAGGCGTCAGTTGGCTGGATCGGCAGACAAGCTCCCGCGTATCAAGCGCACTGTGATAAGTGGCCCTCTGAAGACCTAACTCGAAGGTCACTGTCGCCCGATTAAGAATAGGCCATGCGAGGTTGATACAAAACCCGATGTGCCCCACGTAATTGTAGGGTGCAATTGGCTCCATATAGAGAGCGCGTAGGTATGCCGCCCGATATGAGAATTGTACTTAAGCAGGCAGCATATGACCACGTTTAAGATCTGTTTTTCCTATAGGTTGTTCACTTAGGTTTAATTGAAAAATTAAACCATCTCAGGTCAACGTATCAATAATTTAAAAAACAGTAAGGTATTGTTAATAATTGATGTTTAAAAAAAGTAGGTAATCAGATGCCATCATCGAGATGAACACTCAAAAATCGTGATATGCAAGGTGACTTTTTTACCAACTAGTTAGACCTATTCTTGATGATGGCACTCTCGGAAGTCGGTGTTTTAAGTTCCCCAAGCACAGCCTTCTGGCTTAATGTACGGTTCCTTCCTTAGGTCAGTTTGTCTCGATCCTTCTTTTACGATGATATGGTTGGCTGTTTCCTCCTCCTCATTGAAAAACCTGCAATGGGTCTTTATGTGGGTCACCCATCGTTTTGTTGGTGTTTACCCAAATGATAGTCACTGACCCAGAAAATATTGGTTACAGTTTCTTCCGCCTCATTACATACCTATAAATGAGGTCATCAGTGAATACAACCACGTGTGTAGGTCTTTGCCCAGATGCTCGTGACCGGTATATATGCCTATCGCTCCCCTGAATCATCACAGTAGCCTAGGTAATGTCTCCGTTGACCTATATTCGCATTCAAATATGAGTTGTGGTTTCTTCCTCCTCATAGCTAGGTCGTTTAACCCTTTCAGCCCGATGTTGACTCAGAGCCACACCAACTTAGTAGATGCAAATAACTCATCATGACCAATTCTTCACAAACGTGGCTCTTTATCAACAGACTTCAGAATCAGAATTCAGATCATCAGACCACCAATCTCTTTTTATGTGGGCTGATGTTGATGATTATAGTGGTGTGAGAACGATAAGAAGCAGGTGGTATCCCCCAAGCACTGAAACTTTTTGGCTTATTGTACTTTTCCTAGTTCCTGAGTTCAGTTCAGTAACTCGTTCATTCTTTTAAGAAGTAGTAGGCCGTTGACTGTCAATGCAATTCTTTTTGCCGGTTCTTTTTGGTCTCTAGGTTATGTCTCTAATCGAGAAAATATGGTTGTCACTTTCTTCCTTTTTATTGGATAACCTACAAATGGGGTCATCATTGAGCATGTTAAATTTTTCTCAGATGCCAGTGACCGGTATAATAGCATTATAACTCGGTTAGTTTTATCCTGTCTAACTGTAGCAATGTGCCAGTTTTGGTGAGGGTTCTTTCTTTAATCATGAGTTGACAGTGTCTGTAACGTCTGGAATTCGTCCACTTCTTTTATATTTTCTGGAACCATTCTGAGATGGAGGCGTCTGTTTGATCTTGCTATCCCAAGTATAGGTTCAGGGCCTACATTTGGTCTTGCAGATCCTTCTCTGACCTGACCTCTTCATTACCTAGCCTTTGTGCCTTGGCACCTAAAATATCATCAGGTTTACCAGATTTTAGATGCATTCACTGATTATTGTAAGTATGACCGTTTTACAAGTGTGCTTTAATAGGTGTTTCATTGCTGATTTCACCCCTACAGTTTATCTACTTCTCTGGGATTCTGAAATGGATGATTCTATATTTGTTTTTGTCATCCTATAATATATGGTCTTATATATCCTCCTCTGGCCAGTTTGTCTTCCTTTTCTTTACCCAAAAGCCCTTTGGGTCCTGGTTCCCAAGATATCATCAGGTTGTTGCGTTTTCCCAGGTTTTAAAGATTTTGGATGCATTCGCTGGCTATTTTTGATGAGATTGTTTTACTTTAACAGCTGCTTGGCTCTGATCTCGTGAAGATTGTTTTTTGTCAGTGTAACTTCCTTTTAGGTTTTCTAAAGCACAAGCATTGATGTAATGTACATCAGCTTGAAAAACCGAGTTGTACTTCCCTAATGAGTTGGATTGCTCATATTTTGTGCTTGTACAAAACACAACTGATCCGGTTCCTTCATTTGTTTTGGAGCCATCTATATACCATACCAATGTACATAATGTTCTCCTCAATTCTTCTCTTATGTAGGCAGTTGAGACTTTATAAGATGATGTAAAGAATGTGTAGGTTTAATTACACTAATACGTTGCACGCAAATTATAAATTCAAAATAATATTTAATCACTGACAATCACACTCGTATATCGTAAGCCTAACTGACAGATAATTTGTTTTTACAGCTGTTAAATTAGATATTTAAAGTGGATTTTTAAGAAGATCCAACAGTTGCTGGGTCTAGTGGACACGTGCTACAATACTCTCCCCCTTTTCAAGAAAGGAATTTAGCCGGGGTGCGTACTCTTCGTCAGGTAGGGAAGGTGGTGGCTGCTGGAGTTGCGATGATGGAGGTTTTAGGAGATGCTAGAGCTGTTGTTTCTACGGCTGGCGAACATTGAGGACCAGGTTCGGTACTGCTATTAGGATGAAGATGAGTCGCTTGAAGACTGTGGCAAGCATTAATACAATCCACAGAAACAGTAACCGATCTTCCCCGTACTTCAAGGGTATAAGTTCCTCTGACCTGCTTAGAATCTTGAATCCTTCATAGGGTGGAGTGAGAGGTGGTCGAACAGTACCTACTCGTAAGAAAGCTGTTTTTAATCCTTTATCCACAAAACAATTCTTTCAGCTGGCCGCTCGTGATGGGATTGGACGGCAAAAGGAAAAGAAATTGCGGAGGTGGTTGGCTGTTTCTATGAAGAATTCTCCTGGTAGCCGCAATGTTTGTCCGTAAACTAGTTCACAGGGAGCCATAGTGTACTTATCAATTATTGTCAAAAGGTAACGCCTACCTTGCGAAGGCAGAAAAGGTCCAACAATATCAATATGTCTAAATCTATTCGGGTTGCGAAAACTGCCCAAAGGAGTTGTATTAAGCCGTGAAACCTTCTACGCTGGCAAGATATACATCTCTTCGACAATAAACGAACGCCTCTCCTCAGTGATGGCCAAATATATTTAGCGGCCACTGACTGTAGACCTGATGCTAGGATACGCGCGATCGTACAACTACCGTAAAATGTCCTTTCGCAAAGTAGGAGAGGTGTGGACGGTCGGCCGGAGTAGATCTGTCACACCAAAGGGTGAGCGATGTCCAAAGGGACCTACTATAATATCAGGGTGATAAGATTAGTTGTTTAAGCTCAGCGTCTTTTCTTGTGATGTCGTGAGTTCTTGGACAGAGATTCAGCAGCAAGTCGGGAAAGTGTGTCTGCCACTACATTCTGTTCATCCGGTTCGTATCTAATGGCGGTTGTATATTGCGATATGAAATCGAGATGGCGATATGTTGCTTAAAACTATTTACAAGTAGTCAGTCGTTGATCCGTAAAGATTTTGAATTGCCGTCCTTCCAACATTAAGCAAAAATATTTCTCTTCTGAGTAAGTTGACAGCAACTCTCTATCATATGTTGAAATATTTTTGTCGTGTATGTGTGAGTGCTTTTGAATAAAATCCTAACGGAACGACGGCTGAGTCTTGCTTTTGTTGTAATGCTGCCTCGATCTCGGTTTGCGATGCGTCTACTGTAAGAAAGAATGGAAGGGTGATGTGGGTGTGCGAGGAGCGTTGCGTTTTCTAACGATATTTGAAGTGAAGTTTCATCTGACCATACTATTTCTCCGTTGTTTTTCTTAATATTGTCAGGATTTAAGACGAACAAAACGTTGTGGGTCTCGGCGGAAATGGGCAAACATCGTCGATAGAAATTCACTAGGCCCAAAAAACGACACAGCTCCTGTCGGGTAAGGGGAAATCTTCAATGGCCTTAACTCTGACTACCCGTGAACGGATTCTTTCTGGTGAAACGGTGTAGCCAAGGAAATCTATTTCTTTAACTCTGAACTCTGATTTGTATGCGTTTACGTTAGGGTTGAATCATCCATGACCAAATATTCTTCACGTATGTGTAACCGATGAGACTTTTCGTCTTCTGATCCTATCAAAACATCATCGAGGTATGACAAAGCAAAAGAAAACCAAAATGTAGTCGCATGAATTCAAAATAGCCAAACGATGAAGTAATAACCGTTTTAGATATATCATCTTCTGCCACCAGTATGTTTTAGTAGGCCTTACCAAATCAATTTTAGAGAAAATTCGTTTCCGTGCCAATTCCGAGTGAAAATCCGAGAGATGTCGAATTGGGTAGCGATCTGGTACTATATTTACTATATTGGAGTTAAGAGAGCGGTTGTTTTA